AGTCACACAGCTTGTCAGTGCAGAGATGGAACTTGAACTGAGACTCAGGAGCTCCTGAGTGGGACCATTTCCTCCTCATTGGACAAAGCTGCTCCGGGGCGGGAGGAAGCTGCCTCTTGTGCCTACCAGCCTGTAATCCTTGCTTCCTTCCTGCCCTCCCCCTCCCCCTCCCCTCCCCAGCCTCCATCGCCTGTAATCCTTGCTTCCTTCCTGCCCTCCCCCTCCCCCTCCCCTCCCCAGCCCATCATCTTCGTTTCAGACAGAGCAAACAGCAACAAGGAGCTGGGTGTGGACCAGGAGGCAGAGGAGGGCAAAGACAAAGCAGGGCCCGATAAGCCAGGGAGAGCCCCACAGGTTTCTGAGCATGCGCCATGGGTGGGCCGGTTAGCTCGCAGCGGGGCTCCGCTATGCGCTAGGGGTCCACTGGGGCTGTGGCGGCTCCCAGGGAGGGTCTCTTCAACATCGAGGGGCTTGGAGTCACCCCGCTGACTCCTTTGAACTTTGGGGTACTTCTTGGATACATGCCTTAGGTCGGCTGCCACGCCAAACTAGTCCTGGGATGGGAGTGACAGGAGAGCCTGCTGGAGAGAGCCAGGCTGACCTGTTCTCGGCTCAGAGTTGTTGACAAGGACGGCAGGCGAAAGGGGGGGTCTGACAGCAGCCATGCAGTCCTGCAGAACTCGGGGGCCGTGTGCTCTACCCGGGAGTATCCACATAGCGGGCTGGGGAGAGGGTCCTTTAAGGACTTGGCCACAAAGACAGAGGTGGCTAGAGGACCTGGCTGGAATAGTCAGGCTCAAAACAGAAGAGAAAGTTCTATCTGGAGGAGAGTGGGAAGAGGATCGAGGATGCTGTCTGCATGTTGGCATGGCGAATGTGTCCTCCGGCCTGAGGTGCCAGGGCTAGAGAGGCAGCGAGTGGGGAGCCGCTGAGCTCGGGCTCAGCGGGCAGTCTGAGAAAATGAGCCCGTGCCAGCTACTGTCGCTTTGTGGGGCTGTGTGGGAGTCAGGCCTGGGTTCCCATGTCTCCGTTGTGTCCTCACAGGCAGGGCCTGGCCACACGGACCAGGAGACTGAGGAGCAGCAACAGTTCCGGAACATCTTCAGGCAGATTGCAGGCGATGTACGTGTTTCCCTCCTAGCCCAGGGCTCCCAACGCAAGAGACTCACCGTTTAGCAGAAAGCCATTTTGGTTTGGGAGAACCAGAAGATGTGTATCACATCAAAGAAACCCGTGCCTTTGGGTTCGGAACTAACACCAACACGGGGTGGCCCAGAGCCTTCTGGTAATGAGCTGCTCCTTGCAGTCTGTGCAGCTGAGGGTGTGGAAACTGGCCTGTCTTGCCCAGAAAAGCCCCAGCTTCCCATGGCAGAAGACAGGGGAGCTTAACAAGGGTGGACAGCTGCGACTTGTCCACTGGTTGCTCTGCCCTTCACAATCTTCCTCTCCCTCAGGACATGGAGATCTGTGCGGATGAACTCAAGAACGTCCTTAACACGGTGGTGAACAAACGTGAGCCACTCATGCCAGATGCGGGGGATGGGCAGGGGCCGCAGCTGTCTGAAAGCAACTCCTCACCCTTCTCCATCCCCCCAGACAAGGACCTGAAGACACAAGGGTTCACGCTGGAGTCTTGCCGAAGCATGATCGCTCTCATGGATGTATCCTTTCCACCACCATCCCCAGTCCTCTTACATAGAGCCAGGGCAACAATTAGGGGTGGCCATGCCTAGTGAAAGACTTAAGGGGATCTTGACTGAGACAGTCGGGCTGACAGGGGTGGTTAGGGAAGGATACTGGGTTTTGGCTGGTCGTCACCTCCTGTCTTACTGCAGGCCTGAAATCTTGCTTGGGATGCTGCCCAAACAAGGATTATTTTTGGGGGACAGGCTCTGTGGGCTACAGAGATGCTACAGAGATGGTAGGAACTCTGATTAAGAATGAAGGGGAAGGATAGAATCTGGGATCAGGAGTCCCGGTATTGGATACTGGTTGCTCCGCCTTCCCTGCATAGTATCCTAGATACTCCTCCCAGTTCAGGGCGATCTTATTATGTGCCTGTGGCCCTGACATCCATCCTCCAGACAGATGGCTCTGGGAGGCTGAATCTGCAAGAGTTCCATCACCTCTGGAAAAAGATCAAGGCCTGGCAGGTAGGATGAGAGTCTAATGTGCGAGTGATGGACATGGTTAACTTGGGATTACGTGTGTAACTGCTATCTTCGAATTTTCTATTTTCAGAAAATCTTCAAACACTATGACACAGACCATTCCGGCACCATCAATAGCTATGAGATGCGAAATGCAGTCAATGATGCAGGTGCCGTGGGGAAGAGGGTAGAAGATGCAGACCCGAGAGCTGGGGAGCGCAGGAGGGGATGGGAGACTCGACGACTAGGGCCCTGTTAGAGAAGGGGGGGGGAGAGCTTCTTTCCCAAGCCAGTGTGGCCAGGACGTGGAGAAGGGAGACTGCAGAGCCTGAGAACTTCACTCCCCTTTCCTCTTCCTGTACTTCCAAGGCTTCCACCTCAACAGCCAACTCTATGACATCATCACCATGCGCTATGCAGACAAACACATGAACATCGACTTCGACAGTTTCATTTGCTGCTTCGTCAGGCTGGAAGGGATGTTCAGTAAGTGTTTCAGTTAAGGTTCCTATTGCTCTGAAGAGACACCATGACCATGGCAACTCTTACAAGGAAACATTTCACTGGGACTGGCTTACAGTTCAAAGGTTTAGTCCATTATCATCATGGCAGGAATCATGGCAGCATGCAGGCAGACATGGTGCTGGAGAGGTAGCTGGGAGTTCTACATCAGGATCAGCAGGCAGCAGGAAGAGAGAGTGACACTGGGCCTGGCTTGAACATGACCTTAAAGCCCACCCCCAGTGACATGTCTTCCAACAAGGCCACACCTCCTAATAGTGCCACTCCCTATGGGCCTATGGGGCCATTTCCATCCAAACCACCACAGAGAGTGAGGGGCTGGCTACCCTTCAGCTCTCTCAACCCCTTTCCCCATGGCACAGCTCTGGCAGTCAGAGCTCAGCCTGCCAAGTGCCCAGTCTCCTGCACTGAGGCTGCATATCAGCCATGAGTCTCCGTAGGCCAAGGAAAGGATGGCAAAGGGAGAGATGGGGGTTATGTTCCGCATTGATTTGTGTGGAAGGACAGCACTCAGCACAGGGGCTTCCTAATTATAGATCTGAGCACTCAGTTCATGCTCACTTGTGATCCAGCAGGGACTAGAGGTAGGAGAATAGACTTTAGTTCAGTAAGACAAGGGCTGGCAAGATGACTCAGCTGCGTGTGTCTGATGGCCTGAGTTCAATGGCCGAAACCCAGGAGGCAGAAGGAAAGAACCAATTCTAGAGTTGCCCTCCAAGCTCTCCATGTGTTCTGTGGTATGTGCCCACATGCACACACAATGATAAATCCTTTAAAAAGCAAACACGAGCAAACTGAGCCAAAGCCCTAGGAGGGTACAAACAACGGTGGCGGAGGGAGCAACCGGCTCTTGGCCTGTGCTTTCTTTCACACAGGAGCTTTTAACGCATTCGACAAGGACGGAGATGGCATCATCAAACTGAACGTTCTCGAGGTAAGCATAACAAACAGCACGTCCTCCGCACCATCCAACGCAAGGGGAGGTCAGCGAGGCAGACTGGACCCAGTGTTCCTCACTCCCAGAACAGGAACTCGAAAGGGAGCCTAGTGAAGACTGTGGTTCCTGGGGAGATCAATGGAGGGGGGGTACCTTGAGAGCCCCCCAAGTTGCACTGCCAGAAAACACTTTCCTAGAAAAGACCCAGGAAAAAGGAGCTGTTTGCTCTTTTTAAGAACCTTCCCTTGCCCCCTTATCTCCTTCCCAATGCAAGAGATCCTAGGGCTGACGGGCCTCTTTGCATGCTTTTGTACTGATCCGGGGCTTCCTCTTTCAGTGGTTGCAGCTTACCATGTATGCCTGAACTAGACAGGCCTCATGCAAGATCAACCAAGACTCCAACCCAACCCAGCTAGAGCCATGTACCACCAAGAATCCAGCGGCCGCACCTCCACAAAACCTAGGGGGCTTCTGGCCTTGTTCCTTCTCCACTTTGCCCCCAATCTCGGTGCCCAGCCTGGTGCTTGGGAGAACTCTTTGCCACCGGAAGGCTAGTGTCTGCCTGAGCCAGCTGCAGCTTCACTGGGTGGTCTGCTGATTCTGAGTTGCCCACTTAGCTTGCATTGGGCTGTCCACAGCACCAGCTAGTGGTACTCACTCATACAGGAACCCAGTCGCCAAGTCTGCACTCAGTTCTGCCAGTTTTAGGATGGGTTAACTCTGGGGTAAACAGGGCTGATGCTTGGAGATATGACAAAAATTTGGCTGCATTCTGAAAAAAAGTTAAATAAAGGCACATGTGTGGCTGATTCCATTGTTTTATTAACATTTCTCAGCCACAGCACGACTGTCTTTCAGCCATACTTTCATATATCACCTCCACAAAGACCTAGTTTGGGGCTAGGGAGATGGTTCAGTGGGTACAAGGGGTATTCAAGCATGAGGACCCCAGGATGGATCCCTAAAAGCCAAGCATGGTAGCTCACACCTCTAACTCCAGTACTGCAGAGCAAAGACAGGAACTCTACAGGCTTTCTGGCCAGCTAGTCTAGCCAAAGGGACAATGTTTGGTGAGAACCTGTCTCAAAAAATAAGGTAGAAAGACTGGGGCGATGGCTCACTGGGTAAAAATGCCGAGTCTGGATCCCCAGCACCCACATAAATGTAAATGCCTGTTGGAGTGATCACCCACCTGTAATCCCATCCCAAGAGAGACAAAGGATCCCTGGCACAAACTGATCAGCTAGACTAGGTGGCTTGGCAGGCTCTGGGTTAAAGAGACCTGGGCTTGTGGAGTGATCCAGGAAGACAGTATCAACCCAGCCTCCACAAGTGTGCACACACCACATGCACACAAAGGGAGAGAGCGGAAAACACCCAAAGTCAGTCTGACCTCCACACCTGCACACATTTACACAACACCAAGAAAACCCTGTTTGGTCTACGGATATACCTGACTGTCCAGTATTGGAAGGGATGTGTCTGGCTAGTGTATAAATGGAGAAGAGCTCCCGTACCAGGATAAAATGATGGGGAAAACATACAGAATCAAAGGCTTGAGTCCCACTGAAACCACGCCTCCTCCGACTGTTCCTCTTCTTATTGTAATCTTGGTTTATGTGCACCAGTGCTTTGCCACTTTCATGTGTGAGCACCTCACATCTGCCTGGTGTCTGTAGGGTCAGAAGAGGGCACCAGGTTCCCTAGGACTGGGAGCTAGAGATGGCTGTGAGAGCCATGTGGGCGCTGGGAACCACAGCCAGGTCCTCTGGAAGAGCAGCCAGTGCTCTGAACCCCGGAGCCAGCCCTTTAGCCTCACTACTGCTAGTTCTTGAGCTCAGGATCGCTGGTGTGGAACACATAGGGGCAGTAGAAGGAGATGAATGGGGGCGGTGATCAAAGTACACTGTATGTGTGAAATAAACTAATTTTAAGTCAAATAAATGGGTAACACGATGGGCCAGTTACTACAGGAGAGAAGTGATTTTTTTCCCATCCTAGCTCCTCTGCTCACTGGCCTATCTGACATTAAAACAACCCCTGACCCTGAGTTTAATCTAGACCTTGGATGGGTCTGTGGCACAGATACAAGCACCATGTTTCCTGCCCACTGTCTTGTTCTTTATGCCCAAATGGAAAAGGCTGATCATGAAAACACAAAGTAACACTTAGTCAAAGTACTTTATTTTCTTCTTGTATTTGCTTTATATCTTGCTTACAAAGTTATGAATTTCACAGCTTTTATACCAAAATGTAAGAAGGCTGTTTAGAAATAATTTTGCAGTCAAATGTCACCTGACATTTCTTCTGAGCCATATTTAGTATTGAAATAGAGTAAGAAACCAAGGTGCTGGGCAGCTCTGGGCATCTACTCCCCCCACAGCGTTTCCTTCGCCACCCTCTGCCAGCACTGGGCTGCTTCTGGGCTGGCCTGGGCCATGTCCTTGGGTTGGAGGTGAAGACACGGTTGTTGTATGGTAAACGGTAGGTTAATTTACACAAGGTTTCACACACATCTGCACATGGAAGTGTGACCCAACACACCCCCACCACAGCTTCCTCCTTTCCTGCCTATCAGGCCACCTCTCTGAAACCCAAGGTTCTCAGTGACAGGACAGAGATGAAGCCACCACTTAAGTATGCCACGTACAGCCGTACAGTAATTCTAGAACTCTCCTTCAAGCAACAGGAACAAATTTGCTAAGTAAGCATATGCAAATCGCAGCTATTTAACCAAACCACAAGGTAGGTGTTGTTCAAACCTTACTTCACAATATTCTTCAATTTCCTTCCCAATGAATTCTCTTCCATAAAATAATACTGTGTCATTCTTGTAAGTGTGACCTACACCCAGCAACTCAGCCACATGCCCATGCACTGAAATTGTCCCATACATAAATCTACCAGAAAACAAAACAAAACAAAACAAAAAAACCAAAAAACCTTTGTTGGCAACAATCACTTCAATCCTAAAAGTACTGGCCTGGATTCACTGTAGTCCAGGAATTCGAATTTCCAACGGCTAACTCTCCCAAATAAACGCCTTCCCGACAAGAGCAATAAGAGCAGTGTTAAACAGCGGCTCCTCGGACTTCAGTGATGTCAGGACACATTCTGCCATTTTTTTATTTGCATTGTTTACAGTTGAGCAAAGTATGCCAAAATGTGTTTTGAACCTAAGTGAAAACTTAAAAAAAAAAAAAAAATTGAAAGTGGCTGGTTATTTTATTAGAACCGTTATTATAAACACAAAAGGACTTTTTAAGATTTTCTTTGCTTTGAGCTGCTGGACTAGGCATCAAGAATTTAAAAATAAAAAAGACCTGCAAGTACTCCTTAGAAATGTCTTGGGTTTTGGAGGTTATTTATTAGTCACTTTCCTTCTCCTTCAAATTACCCAACGAAAGTCAGCACAGACCCGAGCTGCCCTTTCTGAGGGGAACTGGAGGCCGATCATGAATGACCAACATAATGAACAACTTAAGAAGCAGCCACAGTCTGTCTCCACAGGCAGCCACTGCTGAGGAGCCAAGAAACCAGGGCTCTTCATTCTCAGGGCAACCCTAGACCGCTCAACCTGGAGAACAGAGATCTGATGCCCCAAACAATTCCACCTGTTCTTGAAGTCACCACACTGCTTCAAAGAAAGCCCTGCGAAATGAGGAATCGCCGGTGCAAGTGCCCCCCCCACTCGGGTAAGCGGGCAGATGCGTGCACACAATGGTACCAGGGGGAACTCAGACCACAGTTCCTACCAATCGCGTCGGGCTGCAAGCCCGTCGGCCCTCAAGCATTCCTCACCACTGGTCAGCACCTTACACTCTCCTCCCTGATGCACATGGCCCCACCACTCTCCTCCCTTCCTAATTCCATTGGGTGAACGGGGAACCTGTGCTTCCTCAGCACACTGCCCCGCCAATGTGGAAACTCGAGATGCTGTAGCTCAAAGAATAATGCAGGTTATTCCAAGTGAAACCCAAGTGAACTTTCCTAAGAAATCACTTCCCAGACCCACAGAAGTGTGGCTACTCTGGTCACCCTTACAGAAAATGGAGGTGAGAGGTCGGAAAGGTTTTCCATCTTACACAGAAATAGCATAAATGCTTTGTCAATAAAATCTCAGCATCATACAATGGTTCTCTTCACATCTAAGCCATGTGGTTAACAAAAGTTTTCCTACACAATAGGCCACATGTGAACAGCCCCTCATTTGTGGGTCACTCATGAGCTAGTATTAGCCCCTAGATTTGTTCTTAACGTTTTCTGGATCCAGTAAGAACTACTGGACTCATTCCTAGGGGAAAACAAAAAAGACATACTTAGTCTTTTGTGCAGTTTCAGAGGACTCACAGACGGGCTGGAAGCCTATCCATCAATCCCTGGTGGAGTTGCCCTGCCCTAGAGCGTATGAGGAGGTCTGATCAGGCCAGGTACAAAAACAGAGTCTGCAATTCTAGTACCAGAAAGCATTGCATCCTGAAGCTAGGGTATGTGCCATGAGAGTCCTCTCCCTCTGAAGAACCTGAGTTTTGAGAACTCAGAAACAAAATATTAGGAAGTAACACTTGCTTA